TGTCAGAGAGAGTCAAAATTTTGAGTTTGTTCCTACTTTTATTCATTCTGGTTTTACAGTGGTACCTCGCAAGGCGAATGCCTCGCAAGACGAAAAACTCGCAAAACGAAAGAGTTCGTTTTTTGAGTTGCTTCGCAAGACGAATTTCCCTATGGGCTTGCTTCGCAAGACGAAAGGATACAATGTGATGATTTTCAATGCATTCCTATGGGAAACCATACTTCGCAAGAAGAAAAATTCGCAAGATGAAAAAACTCGCAGAACAAATTAATTTTGTCTTGCGAGGCACCACTGTATATCGTTTTATTCCAATTTCTTTAATCCCATTTTATTTTAACATCTGTTAAATATACAGGCACATTTCTAAAGGAGAATGTTGTGATTTCCCTGCAGAATCCAGAATTTCAGATTTATGCAGTTGCAGATAATTAAATTTTGGTCTGAGTTAATTTCTGCTGATGTTACCTGGTTCTGATTTCATATGGATACAAACTTTCTATCGTTAAATTCTTGTGATTGCCAGATTACCAGATGCAAACAAATCTACTGTATCACAATAGTACAATATCTGCAATCTCACCTGAATACAGAATTTATCAGTAAAGCTAAATAAATTGAAGAAGATGGGAATGTTACATGCAGTGTCCCATCGTTCCAGGCACATTTTGCGACAGGGAATTTCATTAGGGCGAGCAGTTTCTGAGCTTTGGGTGCAGTACTGCACCTAAGATTTCATATTAAAATTGCAGAGTGGAAGGAAAGGAGGAGGTTTTTCTGCCTCCCCATTTCCAGCTACTCTCTGAAGACTGGAGAAGAGACCCTCTTAAGAATATTGGGGGGAGGTGAGCAGGGGAAAGACTAGACCATGTGAAAAATGAACATAATGTTTTAGCTGCAGTGATTCATTTTCAACTTTGTATTCTTGTTATTAAAAAGTGTGCCTAGACATTCCATTGTTGTGCCCATAACCTAGGTTTAAGGTGCCATTTAGCTCCTGGCTTTCATATCTCAGTTTCTAACACTGGTTACATGGCTGGTTCATTTATTAGCATTGTTTAATTTCAAATCATTAATGCTCCCATGTCATCCCAGAAACACTCTTCAATACCATTTGTGAACACAACACAGAGGAGGGTTGTTGTTGTTGTTGTTTTCATTTTCTGCTGCTAACTTCTCAAGATTATAGGTTTTATTGCTCTGCAATCCGCAATAAACTCAGAGCAGATGTTTAGATCTTGCAGCATTTCAAACATTCTTGCTTCTGGAATGTACAGGTTTATAGCTTCAGGGCTATGATAGATAAGGGTTAGGATTAGGCATAAAAATCAGTGCTGAAATAAATTAGTCTTTCATTCAGGAAAGTGACTTTTATTTATGACATTCCTGTATTATACATCCGCATCTTGGGATTCTCGGCTATCTCTGCCTAATTGCTTAATGGCTGTACTAATGTCAAGTCAGAAGTGTGTAAGCAGTGTAACGAATTAATTTGTCTCTTTCACTTCTCTTGGAAGCATCAGAGCAGCATACTTGTTCTTAGTCTCTCACCTAAATCATGGCCTTGACCTACTATGTCTCAGACACCTTGCGCCTTCAACTTGCCTGAACTCTGGATTCGATCCAGACTTACTCATGTCAAAGCCTATGGGCTGTGTATGACAGGCAGAATGATTGAAACATTCAATCCACTACCAGGTGGTAGTATCCCTCCACTCAGCCCTGCTTGGATCCAGCTGGCACAGCAAAGAGGCTTTTCTTCACCACTTGCCCTTGTCAGTGTGAATGGCAGGGCTGTGTATGTGGCAGTGGTTAAGATGCTCCATTAACACTGGAGAGTGTAGGTAATCCTGGCCTTGATGGTCTGACTCTGTAGAAGGCAGCTTCCTGTAACCTGCTGGTGGCTAGGGGTTTCGACTATGTTAAAGCCGGGGAGGTTGGCCACACTGCTCTTACAGCTATTTCCTATGTTTGGGAAATACCTGTAGATCTCAGGGCAGTTCACAACATAGTATTACAATATATAAAAAACACAGAAATACATAAGAAAAAATAAAAAAGACAAAGACAACCCAATAACCCCCCCACACACCCCACCACACATTTAAAAGGGCATCAGATGTAAATTAGCCCAAGGCCTGAATTTTAAAAGATCAAGATCCTGCAGATACTGAAGCAAGCACAAGAGAGCACTAGAACATTTGAGAAGAACTGTGGAAGGCGACAAGTTCTTGTCAGAGATTTCCCATAGCACTAGAATGCACAAAGCACCACTGAGACAGAAATAACTCAAGGAAGCTTTGGTTCATTCAGAGAACAATGGCTTATATTCTGGGTATATGTGGAAGAGACTTGACACACCAACGTAAGTAAGGCTGCTGCAAATCAGCCACTTCCAGTAATTTTTTAGCTGTCATTTGTCTTTTAAAGCAAATGGGTGCGATACACAACCTAATTCCATAAAACAGACTATGTTCACACAAACATCATCTTTAACAAATCCATAGCACCTTAGAACATGTGTGTTGTTGTTACGGACCCACCCACAGTGACCCTTCCCCAGGGAGCAAGGCCTTACCCAAGAAAGGTGACGAAACTGGACAAGGCAGTGTTCTGGGATTTAAAAAAAATTGGCCACAACTTTCTTTGGCCAACTGCAGTCCTGAGGTCAGGTGCAGCTGGCTTTTGTCAGCCAAGGTGGACCGGACTGTAGCCTGTTCCATTCCACCTGTTCTCCGCCTTTGAAGTAAGCAATACCTGCTTAGTCCATGCAGCAACAAAGCAGAGACATAGGCATTGAAGCTGCAATCCAGTTCACATTAATCTGGGTGTAAATTCTGTTCAACTCAATGAGCTTACTTCTGAGAAGACATTGACAGGACTACACTTTGCATCGTAGTTGGTAGCCTTCTTAAAGTAGTTGATTTAAGAGAGTGTAGATATATATATGGATAGGCTCCCATTTTCATTTGTATTAGAATAAAAAAAATTAATATAAACCTCATAATTATAATATTTAGGTAATTAAAACACACCCAAACAGGTCATGAATCTCTCCAGCCAGCTGAGAGACTAGAGGATGCGCTCTCCATTCTTGTCATTAAATTGTGAGCAATGGACTGCAAGACCTCTTAAGACACTAGGAAAGAAAAAATAGACAGTCAGATTAGAGTTAGGTTTTTACATCCTAATCTGTAGTAGAAAATTCTCACAACATCTGGTACCCACTAGCAAATGAGCCATGTCAACATTCTGGTTTTGAGATATAAAGCCCTACAATGCTTAGGACCTAAATGTTGGGATGCATCAGGCAGGCCCCCAGCTTGCTCCAGCCCACCGACCGGCAGCCGTGCGAACTCCGGTCTCCCTTGGAACAGCACCAATCAGCGACTCATAGCTTCAGAAGCCTTCAGAAACCTGAGCACACTCTAATCAGCAGAGTGAATAACTCTTCACAACGGAAGTGGCGGACAGAGGCATATATAAAGCGTATTTACAAGCATTTTATTCAGCATAGTTCATAGACAAAGAAAACATGTCTGCTCTCTTTTGTGTCTAAGCAAAAGCAGGAAGCACAAAGCAAAAGCAATACACAAACAGAAATTCCCAGCAAGCTATGCTGGAATGTAAACAGACATGTGACATACAACAGCTCCACACATCTGTTTAGGTGGAACGGAACATCATAATCCTAACACTAAATATTTCATGGCTCTCCTTTTCCCATCTATACTTGCTCAGACGTTATTATCTGGAAGGGGCGCCCTCTGAACTGTGCTTCACCTGCCAGGCCGCTTGCCTTCGTATGGTTTGTGAAGATTCTGTACGCTGAATAAGAGCATCCAAGCCTGGAGGGGGAATCGCTGTGTAGCTATGTCCCATGAATTCTGATCCTTCTGTATCTAGTACATCTAACCAGCCTAGCAGGGCCACATTCAGCTTGGTGGGCCATAGGAACATAGGAAGCTGCCTCATGCCAAGTCAGACCATTAGCTCAGTCTTGTCTGCAGCGGCTGTCCAGGGTTTCAGATGCCGTGGATCAACCTGAGACCTACATGCAAAGATGATGCTCTACTGGTGAGCTGCGGCCATTCCCAAAGTCAAAATTTGGTGGGTTAGACTGCAGGCATGGTAAGGCAGAGTCAGAATTTCAACTAGGTTCTTACAGTTTCATGGCCAATGTGCTGCTTCCTATTCTATGCAGGCTCTTGATGTCCTCCAGTGCTCCTGGATAGCTCAGTTGGTTAAAGCGTGGTGCCGATAACACCAAGGTTGCAGGTGCGATCCCCATTTGGGACAGCTACATATTCCTGCATTGTAGAGGGTGGGACTAGATGGTCCTCATGGTCCCTTCCAGCTCTACGGTTCTATGATTCTTTGCTTCCAAAATTCAGATACCTTCAAAGAACCAAGCCCAGTCCTTTCGGCAGCTGATTGATTGCAGCCCGTTGCCAAATGCCAGTCCATGAGCACCTCTTGATTAATGCCAATATTCCAAATTATGGAGGAACCAAGCACAAATCATGGCTCGTCCACAGCATGGACACACTCCCAGGTTGCACCTGTTCTGCCTTTCAGGTTGGCAGACACTGGCTTAAGCAGCACAGCGGGATGCAGTGCACTCCCCAGACCCTGCTGGACAACATTGTCAGAGGACAGCGAGCAGCAGCCACCATTGACCCATGATGAGAGCCAGAAACTGACATCAGTAAATGTCTTTCTGTCAGTTTCTTAAAATCAGGGCTTAAAATTGAGCCAGGAGTCAGCCTCTGGACATGTTTTTAGGCTCCCCAGTACATGTGAAGAATTGATATAAACAGGGTCTATGCACATGTACAGAGTCTATTTTGTCCCTTCTAGGATCAGAGGTCAGACTTCAAAGCAGCATGAGCCTGGCTCCTGGTGTATTTCTCTGTAGAAGTTAAGAACTGCCTATTTGCTGATGAACAATAATTTCTTGCAGCTGCTCCTTTGCTGACTCTTGTAATGTACATTTTTTTCAGAACACTGAAGGAAAAGTGGAGGAAGCTGAAAACAAAGCGAGCCCCAAAGCAGACCGGCTCACCCAGCAACCCTCTGAGGACAACGAAGTTTTTGGTATGTGACCTAAGTATCAGAGCCGTGGTTCCCGAACCCTTTTCCCCACTTAAATCTTGCTGAGAGTTTTGGTGTACCAACTGTAGTGTGTTGCATTAGATAGTTTCTTTTATTTCTGATATTTCGTATTGTAGAAGGTAGCACTAGACGCCATTTTAAAAGAAGCAAAGTTTCTGTGAAGTTGGCAGGTGTATGTATGTCATCATTTGAGCACCAGCACACTGGCTAGGGATGAGGCAAGTGATGCCTTTGCAAAGGAAGAAAATAAAGGGACGGAAGGGGGAGACATAGTTCTAAATGTTCAACATGATAATTGTGACTTACAATCCATTCTTATGCATGCTTCCACTCAGGTGGACTACAACATCCATCACACCAATTGTTAGCCCAACTGGAGCCTAACAGTATCTGGAAGGTCACAGCTTTCCCATCCCTGACTGAAAGGCTTGATTTTGAGTATTTACATCTTCATAATATCTTATGTTGTGGGAGAAGAAGTTTGCGTAGATGACAAGAGCAATTAAATTAGAAGAGGTGGCGATAGCATTTGGAGCAAGGGATGTGCATTTGTTCTGGCCATGTTAGGAGCAACGCTAGGAAACAGAACTTCAAAATAATTATCCAGTGGTATATAATAATGTACTGTGAAATACAACTTCAGGACCGTTGCATAAGCACTGGAGAGAAGTGGAGGGAACAACTGCAACACATGGGAGTTATGCTCAATGGTAAAGAAAGCTGGGAATAGGAAGTTATGATGCACTTTAACAGCATATTCTTGTATTACAACAGTGGCTACTGTTAAACATAATTCATCAGTTTAAAAGCTCTGTGGATATGTCATTTTAAAAAATATGTTGGCGCAATAATAAGGAAAAACAAAAGTTATACGAAACAAGTTCAATAACTGCTTGGGGGGGAAGAGAAAGAGATTGAGTATGTAGGAGGAGAAAGCGAAATACTGGAATCATTAATAGCGCTTGATAACTTACTGCGCCTTATATTTTGCTTCTTAAGAGGTAGGTTTCTGCAGGAAACAGTGGGTTGCATTGAACTAACCTTTATTCAGAGTAAAGCAATCAGAGTTAATGGCCATGACTAACTTAGATCCATTTATTTCAGTGGGTCAGCTGAGTAAAAGTTAGTTGAATGTTAGAGTAACGACTCAGAATAAAATAAAATAAAATGCAGTAGATATGGCAATGGCAATTACAGCTTATATCTGGGCTGCTTTTTGATGCAGTTCATTTATATAACACATTCACTGCCATTCTCCAGCAGCGGTAAACAAGATAAGGAAAGCAAGCACGAATGGAAGCAAATAGACACACAGCAACTTACCTGATTAATTCTTTCCTTGACCGACGCTGTTTAGCTGCCATGCAGTGGATGAAGGCTGTGAGGTTATTGCAGTTCACAGTGATCTGCTGGGCAGCTCCATCCATCAGCTGTAAGCACAATTGTTCCTTGAGAACAAGTCTTCGCATTAATGCCAAATGGTGACAAACCAACACAAAGCTCATTCTGGTTAAGAGAGTGCCGAGAGGTTGTTGCAAGGTGGTGTCATGATCACAGCACAATCTCCCCCTGTTTTTGTTCATTTTAAGGTGAGGATTTTACTAGTGCTGTTATGGACTGGTCAAATCCCAATACTTAGTGACCATCATACAGAATCTAAGCAACGCTAATTTGTTGTTTAGTCGTTTAGTCGTGTCCGACTCTTCGTGACCCCATGGACCAGAGCACGCCAGGCACTCCTGTCTTCCACTGCCTCCCGCAGTTTGGTAAAACTCATGCTGGTAGCTTCGAGAACACCATCCAACCATCTCGTCCTCTGTCATCCCCTTCTTCTTTCCCAACATCAGGGACTTTTCCAGGGAGTCTTCTCCTCTCATGAGGTGGCCAAAGTATTGGAGTCTCAGCTTCAGGATCTGTCCTTCCAGTGAGCAAGCAATGCTAATTAACAGGCTCTAATCCTATAAAGAAATATTAATTTCTATAGCATTTGTACAAAATGACATTTAAGTAATTCTGCTAATCAAATGCAAATGTGATCAAAAGTAACATTTGTTTAGTGAACTTAATAGATTACTGTCAAATACATAAAAAGAGCATTTTTTTTCTGACCACATTGTAAGTGTTCTGAAAAGGAAGTGGAAATAATTTCTGACAGTAATGTGCTATGTAGGGAGAGAGAGATGATCGAAGTCTAATCATTTGTTAAAGGCAGCTGGGGGGACTATTATTATTATTATTATTATTATTATTATTATTATTCATTTCCTTTCTATACCACTTTGTATTTTTAAGATAAAAATCTCAAAGTGGTTTACAACATACATTAAAATGTCACATGAAGCAACCCAGAGTGAAACATTACAGAAGAAAGCCAAATATACATTTAAAGCAGTGTACCGTATTTTTCGCACCATAGGGCGCACCGGACCATAGGGCGCACCCAGTTTTTAGGGGGGGAAATCAAGAAAAAAATCTTTTTTCCCCCCAGCCCCAAAGAGCAGCGTACAGGGTGCGCACAACCTCTCCCTGCCGGAGGGGTTGCGAGCAGCTATGGAGCAAGCCAAGTTTTGGCTTCCCCTTTAGCCCCATGCAGCCTCTCCTTGCCGGGAGACGCTGCACAGGGCTAAAGAAGCCATAGCCCCATGCAGCCTCTCCTTGCGGAGGGGTTGCGCGCAGCTATGGAAGAAGGCAAGGCAGCAAGTGGGATGGATCCCGCTCGCTGTTTTGCCTTCCCCTTTAGCCCCGCGCAGCCTCTCCTTGCGGAGGGGTTGCGCGCGCTATGGAAGAAGGCAAGGCAGCGAGCGGGATGGATCCCGCTCGCTGTTTTGCCTGCCCCGCGGAGCCTCTCCTTGCGGAGGGGTTGCGCGCGGCTATGGAAGAAGGCAAGGCAGCGAGCGGGATGGATCCCGCTCGCTGTTTTGCCTTCCCCTTTAGCCCCGCGCAGCCTCTCCTTGCGGAGGGGTTGCGCGCGGCTATGGAAGAAGGCAAGGCAGCGAGCGGGATGGATCCCGCTCGCTGTTTTGCCTTCCCTTTAGCCCCGCGCAGCCTCTCCTTGCGGAGGGGTTGCGTGCGGCTATGGAAGAAGGCAAGGCAGCGAGCGGGATGGATCCCGCTCGCTGTTTTGCCTTCTCCTTTAGCCCCACGCAGCCTCTCCTTACGGAGGGGTTGTGCGCGGCTATGGAAGAAGGCAAGGCAGCGAGCGGGATGGATCCCGCTCGCTGTTTTGCCTTCCCCTTTAGCCCCGCGCAGCCTCTCCTTGCCGGGAGATGCTGCGCAGGGCTTTCCTGGCTTTTCTGGGAGGTGGGGGAATTCCCCCACCTCCCGCAAAACCGGCAGAAGCCGCGCGCACTTTAAAAGGGCTGCACGGCTTCTTCTGGCTTTCCTGGGAGGTGGGGGGATTCCCTCACCTCTCGCAAAAGTCCGCAGAAGCCGTGAGCTCTTTAAAGGGGCTGCGCGGCTTCTCCTGGCTTTCCTGGGAGGTGGGAGAAGGGACTGATGCGGCCAGTCAGTCCCTTCTCCCTCCTGTGGAATAGCCCGCAAGAGCGCACGGAGCTTGTGTGCGGCTCTTGGGGGCTTTTCCCGCCTGCCTCCCCCCTGCATTCGCTCCATAGGACACACACACATTTTCCCTTGCTTTTTAGGAGGGAAAAAGTGCGTCCTATGGTGCGAAAAATACGGTAATTAACTAAATTATTAACTAAAATATTTAGTTTATATTTAGTATAAACTAAATATTATCTTAAAGACTTCAAAATAAAATCCTACTAAGGTGATCATGTACAGAATGCACATTTAACACAGCAAAGTTAATAAAAAAAATGATCTAAACATTTCTAAAGGAAGTCAACTATAAAATGCACATTTAAAGCAGCACAATTAGCAAGAAAGAAAAATAACCCCAAGCCACACAATCAATAATTTTAAATATATAATTTATGAATATTTTCCAAATAAAATACTGACCCTTTTAAGTGTTCTGAAAGGGTGGAAACAATCTTGAAAACCTGGAAAAATCAAGATGAGATGGGGAAATGGGGCAAACTGAGGAGGTGTTGGAGGCTGCATAAAATGAGATTGGGAGCAGAATGCAGGTTATTCCCCCTATGCTCTAAAATATGTAACAAAAACAATAGGCAATCTCAGTTATACCCATCTGGCCTTAAACTCCTTCCTTCCATCCTTCCTTCTCTCCACCTCTCTTGCACATGCATAGCATGTCATCTTTTTTGTAAAGTTCCTTCCAAGTTCAGCCAACTCCGCCCAAGCTTTATTTTGATCAAATTAATTCCAACGTGTAAGCATCCGTTCAAAGCATTATTTCTTAACGTAAAGGCCATGAACTGTATGTACCAGCCATCACTTTATTCTTGTTAGCTGCAAGCATGATACTTCACATAGATTCAGAGCAATGGCATCTCTCGCGTCAGGCCAGAATTTAACCAGCCCAGTTGGGCCTCTATTATTACTATTGTTATTATTATTGCTGCAGTATTACCTGCCCTTCAGCCTAAGGTCCCAGGGCAGGTTGCAGCTATTAAAACACAACATTAATATAAAAAACCAATATTACACAGTACCAAGAACAGTTGAAAACAATATTACAAAAATAAGGTGGATTCTTAAAACACACATCTCAAGTGTCAAAAGGGAGGATAAGGAGGTGAAGCTATGTTAGCACCACCACTTCTGTGCTTGTGAAAACAGGTTTATAGTATTACTTTTTATGATCTGATGAATTAGTTCTAGAAGTAGGAAATCTGAGCATATACCCCCAATGGCTGACTACACTGATTAGTTTCCTGGCTCGATTCAAAATGCTGGTCTTGGCCTATAAAGCCTTCTGCGACTCAGGACCCCAATACCTCAGGGAAGGGACTCCCTCTCCCCACATGAACCTACCTACACCCTGCATCAATCATCAGGGGCCCTTATTTGTGTGCCCCCTCCAAGGGAGCTTCTGTGAGTGGCAACACAAAAATGGG